TTCCCTCTCCCTCCCCACCGCAGATATGTGCACACACACTCAAGTTCTCAAGTTCTGCCCAGGAAGGCATGCATCCTTCCCTTTTCTTATGAGTCCCTTCTTCCTGCTAAACACTATAAAATGCTGAAAATAATTTCAGTTGAACATTCTTAATGTGACCACATTTTTCACTTCTTATTGGAACTCTTAGCACCTAGCTGAAATGTATTCGTGTTTTCAGGAAGAATGCAATGATTCAGAAGGTGTTTGTTCTCATTGGGAAATGGCTTCAAAGCTTCCTTATCTCTGCTCCAGAACTATAACCTCCTCCTGCCTCTGCTCACCGTCCATTTGAAGAGCGAACAATGCGCCTGCTGCTCGCTGTGTGATTCCAGCTGGGGCCCTGGGAGCTGGGGATGAATGGTCTGTGCTGTCGCAGCCTGGGCTCTGGTGCATGTGATCCTACAGCTCGGTCACTGTGAAGTTCTGGGTCCCCTTCCACGGGGCAAGTGGAGAAGCAGACTCGCAGAGCCTGAACTTCCACAACGGAGTGTGAGGGCACGAGAAGGCAACAGAAGGCCAAGGCGCCACATCTGGTACCACCCCTCGCTGGCTGCGTGACTTTGCCTGAGCAGTTTCAACCTCAGAGTCCCAGCTGCCTCATCTATCAAATGGATATAATACAGCCAGCTCTGCCTGCCTCATGGCTTGTTGTCAGATAGAGAGCGATGAAATATGTGCAAGTGGTCATGTTTACACACTGCAAAAAGTTATTCAAATGGATTGAAAAGGGGGATGCTCTTTTCACAATACTGACTTTTGTCCCTTGAGCTCGCTGCCTCCCTCCCCCAACTCTGCCTGCCACTCCTTGGACCCTCAAGGCAGGAGGCCTGAAGGATGACGGAGGTGATATTCTTTCAAGCTGTCAAGGCTATAAAATCACAAGCTGTTGAGTGGAATGCACAGATTGCCACGGGCTATGCAGAGACAGCCTTGTTCTCAGGCTGGGGGAGTGCAGTGCCTACCTTCTTGCCTTCTCCGTATATAAGGGGAAACTTCAAGTCATCATCCTCAATGGTTTTGTATGCCCTGTAGGGGGATAAACAACATTTTAAAAAAGGTTTGCACTCAATTAGTGACCCACTGCCCTGACACAGTCTGCTAGGTACTTTCTTTTCCCAGAGAGTCTATCTGCTCACCACACGGACAATCTTTATCAAGAGTTATTTTCCCAATTCCCTGCGGGGGGGGGGGGTGGGGTGTGTGTGTGTGTGTGTGTGTGTGTGTGTGTGTGTGTGTGTGTGTGTGTGTGTGTGTGTGTGTATTTTAACAAACCAGAAAACGCCAAGGCTTTATATGCTTGAAGAGGGAGAAAATAAGTTGGTATATTCATAATTAATGAGAAAGGGAGATGAGTTTCCGTCCTAAGCATTTAGTGCCTGTGCAGTAATGAAGGGCCCCAGTTCGGTGACAGGGTCCTTGCCATTAATCTGAAACTGTGAGCAACAGCAGAGCTCAGAGATAGATGGAGTGTGAAACTGCTCTAAGAGCCAGTTCTCACCTTCAGGGATTGTTTATACCAAAGCAGTCTCATACTGGGATGGCTGGAGAAGGAATATTTGGAGCCTGTTTGACCGCAGTATGATATTCAAGGTTGGCAGAAAATTCCTTGTTTCACAATAGCTATAAAACGGCCATTTGACACACAGAAAGAAAATCTAGTTTATGCTTCAATGGCTTACTCCAGACATGGTTGTCCAGATGCCACTGCATACTCAGGGCGAGGCTGGCCAGGCTAAGGTAAGAGGCAAATGAAGCCTGTGTCTTGCAATTTTGCTGATAAGGAAGTTAAAAAAGAAATGAACAAACATGGCACCCCATTACTAGCTACACCGCCTTGGGCAAGTAGCTGCACCTATTTTGGTCTTGGTTTCTCATCTATAAAATGAGGATAATCACACAGGATGTAAAGTGCTTAGCACAGAGCCTGCCACTTAGTGAGTACTCGATGAGTGGTAGCTATTACTAGTGTTCAGTAGATGGTTAATACTTGGCACACCGGTTCCCCTTTTCACAATGGGGATAGCACTATTTACCATCTCAAAGAAATATTAGTAAGACCAAGTAAAAGCTGGAGTAGGTTCCGCTAGATTAGGTGCTAGAAGCGAGATGCTTTTTTTTAAAAAACATTATCTCTGGAATACATGAAAAAAATAATTTAACCCAATGGCCTCCTAGTCCTGGATACATCTAGGCAACTTGGGAGTGAAGCTGAAATCAAATTTATGAAAGTTTTTGATATAAAAAGAATGCAATCCAATTTTAAAAAGCATTAAAAAAGCACCAAAGCTGAAGCAGGTATATCCATATTTTCCAGGAAGTTGTTTAGATGAGTTGTTGCTTCCCAGGGGGTAGAGGACCAGAGAAGTTTTGGCACCAGACATGCCTGGGCTCAAGTTCAGCACTGCTCTCTGTACAGCCCTGGGCAGGGACATAGGCCCCTCTGGACTTCAGGATCCTCATTAATCAGGGCAAAAATGGGGCTCCTTCATGGGCTTGTTGTGAGGATTCCAATGGGCTAATGCACGTGACAAGCTGAAGAAATATTTAGCACCGTGCCCGGGACATGCCAAGACTGTGATAAAAGGTAGCTGCTGCCACCGCCGCCAAGTAAGCCCAGAGGTGCTCCAGGAATTGAATTGTCAAAAACAGAACCTCTCGCCCTCAATCTACCAAATTAACACAAAGTGGAAATAGCTACTTACGTGTTTTTATACACAATGTGAACTATTTAAAACCCTGTGGTATACAAGTCACTGGGGAACAAGATCAATTATTAGATCTATTATTAGAACAGATTCAACTTGGGGGCTGAATAAGTCTATAGTCCACTGGTTCTCAACCTTGGTGGCCTAGCCAATCACCTGGGAGGGCTTTAAAAAAATCCTGATGCCCAGGTCGCCCCTCAGAAAAATTAAATCTGAACCCTCAAAAAAATTAAATTAAATAAAAATGACGGAACCTAGGCATCACAAATTTTTTAAGGCTTTCCAGGTAATTCCAATGTGCAGCCAAGGTTGAGAATTACTGATGGAGACCAAGTGTCGTTAGCTAACATCCCAAATCAGTTGAGTGACAGGCCCCCCTGTGAGCTTGACCCTAAAGATGACAGACTACATGGTTCAAGGGAGAGGATGGGAAGGGCCTGAGAAAGGCTCTGAAGTACACATAAACAGGGCTTGAGGACCCTGGAGAGTGGAAGGACCGTGGAGAGTGAGAAGACAGAGGATCAGACAAACAGGAGGACGTAGTGGGGACAATACCAAGAGGGGGCCGAGGCCTAGAGATCCAGGCCCAGGAGTATGGATTTTAATGGGAGGCAGAAGGCAGCAGCTCTAGAATCGATGGCTGGAAATTACTTAGAGTTCAGTACAGACAGGCTAAGAGCACCCTTAACAGGCTTGAAAAGGCAGTGAGAAAACAGTTCTCTGACTCCACCACAAACCCACATAACCGAATTCTCTCAGGACAGAGAAATTTCAGGAGCATGAAGTCTGTGCTACCACAGCTCTGAAAGGCAGACCTTGAAATTGTCACCCATGGGATCAAGACGTTGCAAATTCTAATATATTTTAGCTTCTGTTTCCTCGTCTTCGAGAACAAGAAAACTAAAAATAGAAGAGACGACTCTGGAAAAGGTTTATGATGTTCCTGCCATTGTTGGTTTCCAAATGTGAGCCCTCTCTCCACCCCTCACCCACAAATAACAAGAGTGAATAACTATAAATAAAGAGAGAAAGTACAATACCCACTCCCCCTCAATCTTTGGGTAGCCCAAGCACAGTTCATCATATGAAGATAAGTGGACTTCCCTCTACAGTTAAAGTCTTGAATAATAAACAATGAAATACTTAAGAGTTAAAACTGGTAAATTGATTAAAGTCTGTAAATTAATGCCAGCTAACAATACTGACAGCAGCTATGATTTACCGATCATCTTCTACATGCCAGACGCTGGGCTTGGTGCTTGCTTACAACATCTAAAACCTCTCAAACACCCTGCAATGTCCCATCTTACAGATGAGAGGACTGAGAGTCAGAGATGTTAAGCTACACACGCCATGTTAGTGGTCCTAATGCTACACTCAGACTTTTCCAGAAAATACACCAAAGCAATGGGATGTCAGGGCTCAGCTCTCAGGAGTTCTCATTCTAGTTAAAGAGTGTTAAATCAGACCATTATTGTCCACTCAGGGAGTGAAAAGCAGGCATGTTCTCTACTGTCTACGGGGAACAACAAAGGAAAATTGGGAACACAACCCTCTGTGCTCTTGACCTGCCACTGCTTCCCAGGTCATTGCCTCTGTGGCCACAGGGTCCGACGGAGCCCTCTTCCACAGACAGCAGGACTCTCAAATCTGTTCTCAACATTTAAGGGAAGCACCCCAGTTTCTGCCTGCCCAGAAGGCCTGTCTGCTGTTCATATTACGTGACAGTCCACGTCAGGGCTGTAGGCTTGAATCTGCACTTTCGACTCATCCTTGGCTTTCATCCTTCTCTGCTGCGGGAGGTGAGAGGATTAGGAGGGAGGCTTGAAGCTTGAGACCTCCAAGACATGGAAGTACTTGGGACTGAAGATTAATAAGTGATGTCTGTTTTTTCCCATCAGATCCTATGATTTCTAAAATCTTGATAAAACTTTTCAAAATAACTCCAAAATCAGATTGCTCACTAGTTTTACAATAATATAACTGACCGGAGATCATATTCAAATAATTACTTGAAGCAAAACTGGAAAGCTTAGGAAAGATTTTTAGAATAACTCTTACTTTGAATCAATTCCTATATGAATATTTATGAGGCCAATTGACAAAAAGATGATGAGAAAAAATGCAAGGCTTAAGGAGCGCTAAATTAAAGGGCATTCTCTAGTTCAAAGCAGTATCCTCAGAAGCTTCCATTAACATTTTTTTTTTTTAATAATAGTTTCCTTTGCACTGTCGATCCTGTGAAGCTGAAAAGACAAAGCATGAGTTGTATGGACCTACTGGAAGGAAAAGTTCAGACTTGGAAGAGACGGAAAGGTCAGTAAGTACCCCAAATTCAGGAATAACTCCTTCAACACACTGTGTATTGGTTCCTGTCCTCTCATCGAATGGACTGATATAATCGTCCCAGGAGCTTTAGAGTACCTGTCAGCCCACTCCACTGGAGAACAGCCCTGGGACATTTTCTTAAATTGACCCAAACAGTCACCCATTGGTATGTTTGGTCTGTCTTCTGGAAAAACATGAAATAAATCTAGTCTGTCTTCTTCTTGAGAGCTCTGCAAATATTTGAATAGAGCTATCTCAAAGTTGACTCTTTCCTAGTTCCTTCAACTGTTCTTCACAGGACCTGGGGCACCATCCCTAACCACTGAAGCACCAACCATTCAATAAATATTTATTAACTGAGCACTGAATACTGTGGTAGGGGCTGTCGGGGCTTTCTAGTTTGTCGGCGTCCTCAGAGAATAGCATTCAGAACTGGAAATGCTTACGATGTGGCCCGCAGAAGGATGAAATGACTACTTCTTTGACTTAGACCTTGTTCTTTTTTAAAGTACTGCAGCTTATATCTGCATCATGTGCATGTACACATGTGTCTGTACGTGTGGTTTAGGGTCATATATTGAAATGATGAGTCAAAACAGACAAATAAGAAAAACAAAAAACCCGACTAAACAAATACTCAGTTAGTGCATGAGAAAAAAGGGCTGAGAGGTTTCTTGGGGTTTCTTGACTCATCCTGTCCTCTAGTTTACACTTACAAAGTGGATATTTCACTCTTTCATTCAGAGTCATCCACTGCCCTTATGAAATTTATCTTGCTAGCTTCAGTCTATTGTTTCAACCCACCCAGAGACGTCTGAATTCATACCCTTTCATCGAAAATATCAGCTCTCCTTCTATGCTATGTCATAAATTTGATAAGCAGCTCTGCAGTCTTCTTCCAAGATTTGGGGAAAAAAATGGCTAAGCAGAACCCAGATGTTAGAGACCTTGCTCCAGGCCGAGCTAGCCAGACAAGGGCTGTATCGACATTTC